TGTTCAGTCTGACATTATTTACGTGACAACAGCACATTTCATGATGCATATGTTTACGACTTATTCTCACCAGGTTTTGGTAAACTTATAGCTGCTGTGTAAAAACTATAAAGTATTTTGAGGGAATTCTTGAAGAGTGAGTGAGATAAAAGATTGGTTCACACTCATGTGACTTCACATTTTTACAGCACTATATGTCAGAGATATGACGAGTTGAAAACATGCCTCACAATTTGATCTGCAAGCCTTTTGAATGGGGAAAATGGTATGTTTGTTTGCAAATTATGTCGCCATGGTAACTCATAATGTCAATAAAAGTAATAGCACACATCACGGTGCCAAACTTGCCGTTTTGATATAAGAGTTGTGGGGGTACACTTTGCACTTTGGGCTGCATTAAAGTTGAAGGAAGAGCAAGACCCTTTTCAGGTGGATAATAATAGATGGCTGCCTTATACTAGGCAGTCCCCAATAAAGTTAAGAAACCCTAACTCAGTTGGATAATAACAGGTGCCTGCCTTTAGACTCATAGTCACGTGGACAACAGTCCACGGAGGTCTGCACGCACCGGATTAGATTTGAAGCTGGCATGTCCGTGCAAAGCTCATTTTTTTACAACCACGTACGTGTATTTGGTGTCGCACAATAAACTGTCCGGCGACGGACTGTTTTGTATGTGACACCAATGTATTAAATTCTCCTTCTTCTGTGGTCTGGTTTAATGGCCTTTTCTTCTTGCCAAGAGGCAAGCAAGCAATCTCTTTCTCCTCTGTTGACGCATTGAAATGGCGAGAAATGAAGGAATGTGTCACGACCAGCGTGGCTGCGGGAGGGTCTGGAGATTTCCTGGTGGGCTGGTTTGATGTGTGGGCTGCAGGGCCAGCACTCACTGTTTTTTTTGTTTGTTTTTTTTTAGACCTTTTTATTAACATCATATAAACACAGAACACTGCTGTGTCTGGGGCTGCCAGCTCTCTTTTTTTTTTTCTTTGTGACCTGTCAATCAATCCCGTAGGCATGTCAACAAATGACCAATCGCTGAACTCAATTTGTCCCTAAGCTAAATGCCCCTTGCCTGCAGAGCTGGTCTGCAGCTGCTCAGGGTGGACGCTTGAGTATGAAGTCTGAACCGTCTGCGGACAGTGCGTACGATTTCCGTGCAGACTGAGGACCACCCAATTCTGTGCGAGCCTTTATACTAGGCAGTCCTCAATAAAGTTAAGAAACTTTAAGTCAGGTGGATAATAATAGGTGCCTGCCTTATACTAGGCAGTCCCAATGATGCAAGTGTTTACGACTACAAGAACAGCTTATCCTCACCAGGTTTTGATGAACTTATAGCTGCCGTGTGATAAGAAGGGCCCCTGTTCTTGAAAGTTCTGGACGTCAGACACGACAGAGTGAGAAGTGTGCAGGGAGTGAGATTTGACTATGGCTACTTTGCATGCGCATGTGAAAGTGAGGCTGTGGGGGGTAGGGTGGGGGCTTATGGTGACTCAGCATAAACACGGTCTGCTGGGCCTGCATGACCTCGTTCATCAAGCTGACACCCGGTTCTGTTTCTGATCTGTGATTCATAAGAAGACAAAAAAAAACTGATAGCCAAACAAGCATGGCAGCTTTTGAGGAGAACCAGGACGATGGGTGAGGAAACGCAGGAGGTAGAAATGGGAGATGTTGAGGAGAGAAAAACCACGAATGAGAAGTAAACAAATGTGTGAGTGAGATCACAAGCAGAGAGGACAGGCAGAGGGAGACAAACAGGGACAATGTGAGGAGGAGTCACATCCAGTAAACACAGCAGACCCATCCATTCTGCTGAGTGTTTAAAAAAATCTGACATGATTCAGCTATATTTAAACCATAGCTCGTCTTCAGTGTGGCCATCTTACATGTCCTAACACACAGCATGGCTTCCCTCAGCGTGCTGCTGTAGAGTCGACTTGTCCTCCTCAAAACACATTTTTTTGTCTTCACAAAAAAATATGTTTACTTCACACATCCAAACACTTTCACTGAGCGTTCGAGAGGAACAGAACCGGTTACGCAGATGAAACCATGATATGGCCGTTGCTCCAGAAAAAGCTGCTCAAAGTCACAAAAAATCGTTTGCGTATTCCCCGGGTCATCGTGGTGTTGTCACCGTAAACACGTCTGTAGATTAGTGCCGGTATTTACTTTAAAACACCTGAAAGCAGTTGAGCTCCAGCTCCAGTTGATGCTCAAGTTTTAGGCAAAGATCTCGCACAATATAAGTCACTCAGAGCATTTGTTATGAATAATGTTACCATATTTTACAGCATATCATTCAATTCAATTCAATTCAAAAATACTTAATTAATCCCAAAAGGATATTAAACATTGTTGTAACTCGTTATCCTCATTTCATTAAGAGATGTTGTAGATACTGATGACTGTAGGCAGGAAGGATCTCTTGTAAAGGTCCATCCCACAGTGGATCCTAAGAAACTGGCTGCAGATGCCATCCCACCCAGACTGCACCCAGACTTGGCTGGCCTCTCGGTTCCCCCGGGCTGCAGGACCGCCTGAATGCTGGGCAGAACTCCTCCCAGAGCGATGGTCACTCCTCCCAGCAGCCTGCCGAGCTCCTCATTGCTGTGGACAGCCGACTGCAGGTGCCAGGGGATGATCCCGGTCCTTCAGCTGTCACAAGCTACGCTTCCTGTCAGTTCCAGGATCTCAGTGGTCAGGCACTCGAGCACACCTGGCAGGTAGACGGGAATGCATCCATGGTGCCTCCTTTTCAACTCATCTGGGATTTGGAGCTGTAGCTGAGATATTGTTTGAACTTTTGATATGTTAATCAGCTGCTCCTGGTTGTAAAAACCACATGGTTTTCATGGTTACGCATCATAACAGGTGTCTAAAAATAACACGTTTCAATAAAAATCCTTCCAGCTGCACAGCATCTGACACCAGAGGAAAAAATCTTCCAAAAAATTATTTACATCCAGAAAAAGAGGCATTAGTTTCCAAAAGCAAAATCTCAGAATGAATGTAACAGAGCTGCTCCAACATGCAGCCACCCAGAGCGGCGCAATTCTAGAATTAAATTAATTCATTAATCTATCTATCTATCTATCTATCTATCTATCTATATCTCTCTCTCATATATTTATCCATCCATCCATCCATCCATCCCTCTCTCTCTCTCTCTCTCTCTCTCTCTCTCTCTCTCTCTCTAATAT